CTCTTGGAAACAGTCAGTGGCAAGCAGAGCTTGACAAACCAGATCAAACAAAAGGTCTGGGAGGTTAAATGATATGTATGTTTTCTATGATAACCTTTATGGCTTGGTAAGGAGGCACTCTTTTGAAGGAGGGACTGTACAGCAGGTTTGTGTAGTATGGGGGAAAAAGCCTGGGGATGGTCCGGCCATAAATCAATTTCTGTACTGCTGCAAGGTCTGAGAGAGATGTCACAACGAGAGTTACCTCTGTCAATGATAGTCATTGCAACGCCACCAATATCAGCTCTGCCAATAGCAATATACAAGGAAGGACTGTATGTGAAGTATATTACCTCTGATGGGGTATGTGCAAATAGGAAAGCTCTTCAGATCAACTTTTAATTAAAATAGGGGAAGAAAGCATATTCACAAAGCAGACATATCCGGAATCAGTTGCATAGCCAAGATTCGCAGCCCATTTGCCGACAGCTACCCTATGCTGAAGGGACCCACTTTCAAATATTCCTATGTACTGTACGTGAAAGCCAGCTGCCCTTTTTGGGTTAATGGTGTGCCTTCAGTGACATGGGGCCCTTCAGATTAGTTAGCAAACCCAACTAATGTCATCGCCATCCAACCAAATCAGGCCTCAGGTGGTACAGGGACTCGGTGACCCAGAACTTCCCATACTCCGGTGTTTGATGTGAATCGCTGGAACATGTCCATGCATCTAACACCTGAATAATCCCATCCTGCTCAAGAGCGTAAGACCACACTACCAAACCGTCTTTCCACATCCACCTCCCATGGAAGGCTCAGGACTCTTCCCCCTCCCACACCCAGCTATACATTCACCGAGACGCAGGTGCAGGATGCTTCAATTTCCTTCCATCTGTTTCTATAGATCTCCACCCCTAGGAACATTGAAGACATGAAACAGCCCCTAAACAGAAGGATACCATGAAGACGGGTTATCAAATCTTCTTTGTAGCCCTTCATTTAGGGCCCATTCAGACCTTGGTGTCGTGTGTTTAAAGCACATGTGTTTTTTTTTCTGAGCATTACCATGCGTTTCACAAAGGCGGCCCATTTAAATGAATGGGCTGGCAAAGCAGCAGAGGGAAGCTTTCACACTAGATTATTGCACAGATGAAATACACAAAGCACACCAAGTAAGAATACACGTATCACTTGCATTTAGTCATTTCCTCATCCTGGAGTTTAGCTTCCACTATAGAAACAAAAAATGATGTCCAGCGGCCTGAACAATTTCCTCAGCATACACTTCAGATTTCGTGCAACTTGCTTGCTCATTGCCTGTACAGTGACTACATACTGCTAGAGATAATAATTCCTTGAACTGGTGATAAATGTAGGGAAGTTGTTCTCAATCACCAGTTCATGGCCCACTTCTGGGCTGCAGCCTCCCTTCTACTCCAGCCTCCAACCAGCTGATGATCCCCTAACCTCCCTCAGTGCTTCACAGCTCCCATAGTGGCCAGCAGTTTCCCTCAACGTCCCACATTGTCCCCTAAGAGCCCTAAGCCCCCACAGTGCCACCAACCTCCCACAGTGTCTCCCAGCCCCCTGCACTGCCCCCTAGCTTGCTGCAGAGCCTCCAGCCCCTCACAACATCCACAGCCTCCATCGGTGTCCCACAATGCCCCCTAACCCATGCAGTGCACTCCACTCTCCTAGAGACACCTCCAGCCCCCACAGTACCCCCAGCCTTCAACAGTATCCTACAATTCTCCTCCCCCATCCCTGTAATGCACTCCAGTCTCCTGGGAAGACCTCTAGCACCCCAAAGTGCCTCCAGCCTCCAACAATGTCCCATAATGCCCCCCAACCCCTGCAGTGCACTTCAGTCTTCTAGAGAGACCTTCATTCCCCGTAGCAGTCACAGTCTCCAACGGTATCCTGCAATCCCCACCCCCAGTTCCTGTAGTGCACCCCAGTCTCCAGGGGAGACCTCCAGAATCCCCCTCCCCCACAGTTAACCCTGCCCCCAACAGTGTCCCACAATGCCCTTCAGCACCCCACAATACCCCCAGCCTTCAACAGTATCCTACAATTCTCCTCCCCCATCCCTGTAATGCTCTCCAGTGTCCTGGGAAGACCTCTGGCACCCCAGAGTGCCTCCAGCCTCCAACAATGTCCCATAATGCCCCCAACCCCTGCAGTGCACTTCAGTCTTCTAGAGAGACCTCCAGTCCCCGTAGCGGAGAGACTCTGTATAGTGGGTATTCTTCCTATTAACAAGAAATGTAAAAGGACATTCTTCCCATTGACCACCAATGTAAGTACATTCTTTCCATTGACCTCCAATGCAAGGAGCGTTCTGCCCACTGATTCACCAATGTAAGGAACATTCTTCCCACTGATCACCAATGTAAGGAACATTCTTCCCACTGATCACCAATGTAAGGAACATTCTTCCCGCTGATCACCAATGTAAGGAACATTCTTCCCCACTGATCACCAATGTAAGGAACATTCTTCCCACTGATCACCAATGTAAGGAACATTCTTCCCACTGATCACCAATGTAAGGAGCATTCTTCCCACTGACCACCAATATAAGGAGCGTTTTTCCCACTGATCACTAATGTAAGGAGCATTCTTCCCACTGATCACCAATGTAAGGAGCATTCTTCCCACTGATCACCAATGTAAGGAACATTCTTCCCCACTGATCACCAATGTAAGGAGCATTTTTCCCACTGATCACCAATGTAAGGAGCATTCTTCCCACTCTCACACCAATGTAAGGAGCATTCTTCCCACTGAGCACCAATGTAAGGGACATTCTTCCCACTGATCACCAATGTAAGGAACATTCTTCCCACTGATCACCAATGTAAGGGACATTCTTCCAACCGATCACCAATGTAAGGAACATTCTTCCCACCGATCACCAATGTAAGGAACATTCTTCCCACCGATCACCAATGTAAGGAACATTCTTCCCACTGATCACCAATGTAAGGAACATTCTTCCCACTGATCACCAAATTTAAGGAGCATTCTTCCCACTGACCACCAATGTAAGGAACATTCTTCCAACCAATCACCAATGTAAGGAACATTCTTCCCACCGATCACCAATGTAAGGAACATTCTTCCCACTGATCACCAATGTAAGGAACATTCTTCCCACTGATTACCAATGTAAGGGGCATTCTTCTCACTGATCACCAATGTAAGGAACATTCTTCCCACTGATCACCAATGTAAGGAGCATTCTTCCCACTGACCACCAATGTAAGGATCATTCTTCCTACTGATCACCAATGTAAGGGACATTCTTCCCACCGACCTTCAATAAAAGGAACATTTCTTCCCACTGATCATTAATGTAAGGAACACTCTTCCCAATGACCATTGTAAGTTAAATACTACCCACTGATCACCAATGTAAGGAACATTCTTCCCACCGATCACCAATGTAAGGAACATTCTTCCCACCGATCACCAATGTAAGGAACATTCTTCCCACCGATCACCAATGTAAGTACATTCTTTTCGTTGACCACCAATGTAAGGGACATTTTTCCCACTGATCACCAATGTAAGGAACATTCTTCCCACCGATCACCAATGTAAGTACATTCTTTTCGTTGACCACCAATGTAAGGGACATTCTTCCCACTGATCACCAATGTAAGTACATTCTTTTCGTTGACCACCAATGTAAGGAGCATTATTTATTTATTTATTTATTTATGATCGAGTTTATATAGCGCCAAAGGTTTTGCTCAGCGCTGTACATAGCGCCAGGGGGCTGTACAATAGAGGGGGGACAATACATGAAACAGTACAGTAACATCAAACAGCACACAAGGTAAGAGGGCCCTACTCTTTCGAGCTTACAATCTAGGAGATGGCATTCTTCCCACTAACCTCCATGTACCATGAGGTGTAGATATAGTAATTATTAGCAGGGTTTCCCTGAGGCCTGAAAGTTATTTCAAAGGTTTTCTTACATTAGAAAGATTGAGAAAGTCTGATTTAAAATACAGGTCCACTTTAAGTGTTACGAATCAACAAGACACAAGCAGGACATTTTCTTTGAAAAAGAAACAAACTCACCTCCATGGCGAGAGCTGCGGTCTGCTGGTCGTAGTGGTTGAGGAGATTGGGCATGAAGGTGGTATTGTACGGGAGGTCCTGACACATTCTTAGTGTAATGGGCTCACAAGCAAACAGGCTGTGTCCCATGGCTCCTTGGACAAGAACAAAAATCATCCAAAAGTAGTTGGAGTAGGCAGCCATGCTGGATCCATACGGAGCCATAGTGTCCTTTAAATCCTAGCTGTCCTCCACAGTCCCATGGATGGACGGCTCTTGTGACGGGGCTTCCAGTACGCATTGATCATAGAGGGATTTCCGACACATTCCCAGCGGTCAGAAGACTGGGAGCACTTGGTTTCCTTCTTAGTCGCAGGTTCATATTTCTCCCTTACGGATTCCCAGGTGCTAACCACACTCCCAAACCACAGTTTCCATGTTTCCTCCAGAGAAATAATATCCAGGAGTCTTCAAGAGCTGCAGAAAATAAGTACACAAGGTGAAAATTTGTTCTTCAAAAATTTGGATGAACAAGTAATGAATGATGCTGGCCACATTTGTAACAATTGTCCTTCATCGACCATCATGCTCAACCACAAACATTCAAAAAAGTTATCTACCACTCCCAACGCCCATTCACCTTCTTGGTCAGCTAGGTGCCCAAAGTCGGTGACACACTGTAAAATACTTTGTGTGAAGCTTTATTGTTCAAAACAAACAACACCATTTGAGACCTTCTTCTCTGACACGTTTCATCGAAATCAGGCGGAATCCCCAGGGGTAGCCCAATTTTGGGTGAAACGCACCAGTATGGAGCTTTGTGTTGCTTCACCTAACAGGAATCTATAAAGTGCCTCTGGAGCTATTCACAATGTACAGTAGAAGCTGCAGTAAGTCAGTCCCAGCTGGTGGACTTCCAGCATCATGTAACCCAGGGGTCTCCAAATATTCTAAGGCAGGGGTGGGCAACTGTGGCCCTCCAGCTGTTGTAGAACTACAATGAGGCATTGCAAAACTGACAGTTACAAACATGTCTCCCAAAGGCAGAGGCATGATGGGACTTGTAGTTCACCAACAGCTGGAGGGCCACAGTTGCCCACCCTTGTTCTAAGGTAAGGGCCAGTTTATTGTCCTTCAGACTTTAGGGGGGGAAGGACTGTGGCCACTGAGGTTAAAAAAATGCCCCATCATTGGTTTTAATGGGAGAAATAGTGCCCCATTGATGGTGTCAGTAAACGGAATGGTGCCCCATCATTGGTGTCAGTTGGTAGAATAGCATCTCAAGAGCCACAAAATGGAAAGCAAAGGGCCACATCCAGCCCCAAGTCCCAGTTTGGAGATCACTGATCTAGCTCTTTACTCCCTGCTTGATTGTTCCTGAACCGCTCCTTTCATTCATTGGATCTCAGTTCTTTCAATCATAGAGGCTTAGTATCACATGCGGGCATTGACTGCATGCAATGACCTTGCCCAGAAATGCCCACTTCTCCAGACTTACACCCACCCATGAAGGCATTTTGATATTTGCATAACTCCTCCCACTGCTGAGGGCTTTGGAGAAGAACAAGGGGACAGGGTGCTGTCTTCAGGAAGCTATGTACAGCACCCTGCCGGCAGCTTGCACCAGTTATGATCTGCCTTCACTGCATAGAGAAGCAAAGAGACCCAGTGATGATATCACAAGGTCCAAAAATAAGGTATGTAATGAGAACATAAATGTTTCATTTAAAAATGTTGATGGGGGGGGGGGACCAGGGAAGGCAAAATAAAAAAAAATTGGCTTGATATTTAACATTCACAGAACTATGCTTGTAAATGCATTCCATAAAAATAGGCTGGCAAAAGAAAGAGGAGCTTTGGAAATCCCGTAGGAAGGGGAGGGGAGCAGGATCTGCAATTATGTTTAATACCGGATTAGGTAGGTAAGCCGTTGGAAACAGGATGGAGAGACGGTAACTGTACAGGTCTATGGGAGGTGTTAATGGCAATGCACCAGGTACTGCTATCCATAGACATACACTGCCTGGGATTGCCAACCACCTCTGGATTCCAGCTCCTTGCTGGCTCCAATCTGTCCCTGGAAAATGCATTATCAACTGCATAAAACGCTTTTTTTATATATATTTTCATTTTTTTATTTTCACATCAGTGTTTATTAATTAGCGCTCATGTACACTGCAGCTGATAAACTCACGTTTAGAAGCTGTTCAGCGTTTTTTTCAGCAGCCCCTGAACTCTCCTAATGTTTTCCTATGTGTCCATGTACACATCGTCATTTATAGGCATCTGAGTTAACAGCAGGGGCGACTGACAACTCATGGGGCCCCCGGGCAATAGGGGATCATAGGGCCCCTGTGTCCTTGCCCAAACTCAAAAAAGCCTATAAAAGAAAAAAAAAAAAAAAAAAAGTACCAGGGGCATTACATGGGGCCTCCTACTGACCCCGGGCCCCCGATGCAGTGCCCGAGTGCTCAAATGGTCAGTCTGCCCCTGGCTAACAGTCGTCTTTTTGAACGCAGAAAACTTGCATTAAGCAGTAGATTTTTATCAGCGTTTCAAACGCAAAACGCTGGTAAATGCGCCTAAACACATTTATAGGCGTTTGAAATTTTTTTTAACTCTTCCATATCCAGATGCTGTCCAGAGCCTTTTTTCATCATGAAAAATGCATGCAAATCGTTTCACCGGTACTCAAATGGACCCGGTACACCATACTTTGAGGTTTTGTATGAAAACAAATATGTTACACTGCTGCATTGATTTCTGCATAGAAATGAGCCGGAACACATCCAAACACCACAAAAAAACCTAATCTCAACAAATACTGCTCTCTCTGCTTCTGCTCTCTCTATTTCTCTCAAAATGTCTGAAATAGTTAATTTTTTACTGTTTTTAAGTACATTCTGGGCATTTTGGAAGGTCTGAGGTTATCTTAAAAAAAAAAAAACGCTTCTTAATGCAAACACTCATAAATGCTGGTATGCACATGTGGCTAAACTGACGTTTTTTAACCTACGTTTTCCAGCAGTCAGTTTCCATCATTCAGAAGTGTCCCGTGTACATGGAGCCTTATTGTCTTGTGGGCTTTAAACAAAGACATTCATTGTAAAATCTATTAAAGTAGACCTAGCATCACATACATTTCCATGTTAAGCCAGTAATGTGTTGTTTTAACACTTCCAGGTATTTATTACATCTCCAAGAGATCACAGTACTCCCCCTGGCACTTGCCTTTCTCTCCAGAAGAACAGCACCATCTTTGTTTAGGCATCAATTAGGACTACTGTCTACTTTCTGGGCTGAGCTACTGGCACTGAGTCGACACAGTCATGTACTGTAAATCTTTGTGTCTATTTCGTTTTTGGCAGTGTTCACAAAATGTCTTACACAGATCGGCCCCTACTGCAGCTTGTCACCTAGTGACTTGCTACAATGTTACAATCAGGGGCG